ATATATATATATATATATATATACACACACACACATGAAGGAAGTTATCATTGGAAAGGACATTTTAAGTGTAAGAAGTACAGTATGTCCTTTTAGAGAATAGTAATCATTATAACTAATAATTTGCCTCCTCTTTATTTTAATAACTGCATAGATGATATTATTCACAATGGTCAAAAGGTAGGAGGAATTCAAAGGTTCAACACTAGATGAATGGATAAACAAATTGTAGATGTCCACCCAGTGGAAAGGAATGAAGTACCATTCTGAGAATAACTTGGCTGAACTTTGGAAATATTATGCTAATTGAAAGAAACCAGTCACAAAAGTCCACAAATCATATTGTTACGGAAAGAGCTGGCAAGTGACACAGAGAGGCAGCAGAATGGAAGTAAAATAAAAAAGTTTACTCCATTGATGGGGATCATCACACCTAATGGCAGTGCCCTGATCGACCCCTCGATTGGGCTACAACTCTTACTTTTACAGGGTTTTACAGCTTTGATCTTACTCAGTTGGTTACATTGCATTTTCATAGATACCCAAAACATGATAGCAAGGCAGTTGAATTTCAACCCGGATGCCCGTTCTTTGTTAGGGAAGTTACCTTTTAGATTCATTCAATTACCTACTCTAGCCCGGGGGAAGGGAGCTTGTTTGATTAACAAAGCTAACAATGGTTCTTTTCACTTAACAAACTTTTGTAGGGAGGCTAGGTATCTCCAGTACTGGTTGATTCTGAATTAAGCTGGGTGAGGGGCAGAAGTTATCTTATATTGTGATATTTCCTAAATTTTCATTTATTAAAGTTTTCCCTATCATTATGATTCCATTCATGTAAAGCTCAGAATTGGAAAGGCTATTCAGAAAAATTTAGGGCTGGTGGGAGGGTAGAGAAATGAGTGTGTGGCAGCGAAATGATATGCGGCTTCTTTCTGGGGTGATGAAAATGTTCTAACATTGACAAGATATTTTGTACAACACTGAATATACTTAAAAATCATTGGGTTGTATACTTTTAAAAAGGCAAATAATAAATATTCAAATTATGTCTCAGTAAAGCTGTTTTTGAAAACAACATAGGTTTAAAAAATCAACCATTAACTACTCTTGAAATAACCAACTAATAATTATTCTGTCTTTGTGGAGGCACATGGAAACCAACCAGTTAAATCTAAAGCAGCTCGGAAGAGAACTCAACCTGCATCTGGAAAAACAGTAAGTCTTACATAACTTACAGGTTGAGTAAAATAGCAAGTCTCAGAATATCACTGCTGTAGATTAAAATAATAAATTTGATCATATCTCTGAATATACCTCAGAACTCTGATATTCAATTCTTGTTCAAATATATTTTGTTTTAAAAATGATTTGACTTTGAAATAAGATGAAATATCTTGGTTTATTAATTTTTCCATATAACTGTTTCATTCTGTGAGCAATGTAGCTATTTGAAGAATTTATAAAAGAAAAAAATCAGTACCAGGGAAAATATCAGTAGAGCAGGAAAATAACATAAGAATATTCAAGGCACTTTGTTTATTTGGAATTAAAATTTATCCCAAAATTAATATGAGCTTTCTACAAAATAAAATTAAGGTAGAACCAAAACAAGAATTCTTTGTTTTCACTTAAAATACAGCATCTCTGGGCTGGGGATGTAGCTCAGTGGTGCCATGCCTGCCTGGCATGTGCAAAGTCCTGAGTTCAATCCCTGGTACCAAAATAAAAAAAAAAAAATCTAGTATCTCAGGAGAAGCAAAACTTTTCCTACCTAAATTACATACTTGTTAGAACTAGATTTTACCAAGTCAGATAATGTACTTTTTTTTTAGACAGGGTCTCAGATTGCCCTGGAACTTGCTGTGTAGCCCATGCTGGTCTCGAACTCACAGTGATCTTCCTGTCTTAGCCTCCCAAGTGGTGGGATTACAGGCGTGCGCCACCATGCCTGGCAGATAATGTATTTTTGAGATACTTATATTTTTCAACTAGAATTATTAGTATTATTGCTTCGTTAAAATTAGATAACTGAAGGAGCTGGGGATGTAGCTCAGTGGCGTGGCGCCTGCCTTGCAAGCACAAGGTCCTGAATTCGAACCCCTGTACCAAAAAATAATAATTAGATAACTGAAAACTATACACTATTTTCAAAGATCAAATAGTAAAATGGTGGTACGTGCATGTAATCCCAATTCTCAGGAGGCTGAGGCAATAGGATTGCCATGAGTTTGAGGCCAGCCTGAGCTAAATAGTGAGTTCAAGGCCAGCCTGAACCACATAGCAAGAATCTGTCTCAAAACACCAAAAAATAGGCCAGGGATTTAGCTCAGAGGCACCGCACCTGCCTCAGGAGAAAATGGCCACACTCGTGTTTCTGCAGGAAAGATGGATTTGGTCTTGTTTGTCACTGAATACATAGTTTGCAAACAAAAAATTGCCCAACACTTCTGTTTGTGAACCAAATTGTTCACAAAAGCATTCGTGAACTGAGGTACCACTGTATGTGAGGTAGGCAGTGGAACCACTGAGCTAAATCCCTGACTCACTATATATGTATATACAGATAGATAGATAGATAGTTGGTTAATGCTGTTTTCAATGTACGTAACTTGAGTGGAATAACTTGATATTTCATTAACTCATTATATTTTTCCACTGTATTCCACCTTCATTTTTTCTTACAAAATCATAATCCAATTTGTTATTCATAGTTTAATGTTTTCTAGTGAAATCATAGTAACAGTTATTCAGGGAATCTTGTTAGAACTTCTGTAAGTCATCCTCTCATTCATTCAAAAGTGTGCACTGGGGACCGGGTGTGGTGGCATGCGCCTGTAATTCCAGTACTCAGGAGGCTGAGGCAGGAGGATGGCTGTGAGTTCGAGACCAGCCTGGGCTACATAGTGAGTTCCAGGTCAGTCTCAATACATAGTGAGATCCTGTCTCAAAAAACCAAAAAAAGAAAAAGTAGCAAAAGAGAAAAAAGCGTGCCCTGGGGTTGGAGGTGTTCCTCAGTGATAGAATTTTTGCCTCGCACTTATGAAACCCTTGGTTTGGTCCTCTGCTCTGAAAACAAATCCAAAAATGTGCATTTAATGCCTGATACCCACCAGACGCTACTAAGTAGCTAAGTACAGGGATACAGAATAATAGGAGGGCTGGGATATAGCTCAGTGAAACTGTGCCTGCCTGGCAAAAGTAGAATGCTTTTCTCTTTGTAGTCAAAATACTTTTCCTTCTCATCCCACCAAAATGTTTCACTATCTTTGAGGATATAATGTTAAATATTTTACAGCCCTACTGAAGCTCTCAACAAATATATGAAGTATAACTGAAACATATGGTGAATGTTTAGATTTAAAAATTTATTACAGTAAGGCCAGCATGGTGGCAGACACCTGGAATGCCAGCACTTAGGAGGCTGAGGCAGGAAGATTGCTGAGAGTTCGAAGCCAGCCTGTCCTACATAATGAGTTCGGGGCTGGGGTTTAGCTCAGTGGTTCCGGAGCCTGCCTTGAAAGCTCAAGGACTCGAGTTCAATCCCCAGTACCCACCAAAACCAAAACAAAACCATAATGAGTTCAAAGGCAGCATAGACTGCATAGCAAGACCCTGTCTCAAAAAAAAAAATCAAGAAATTCATTACAGCGAAAGACGCATTGTATTAATGTCTCAAAATTCTCCCCCTTCAAGCGCACATATCAAGTCATTCTTGGCACCTTCTGAAACAGTTCTGGAAATCCTCCTTCTTGAGTGTCATTACAAGATAATGAAAAAATTACAGTGAATGCTACTCCTGAGTGCCATTTAACTGAAAACCTTGTTTGTAAAACATCATCCACCTTACTCTACAGATCTGGCACCACGTGCCTTCTGGATGTTCCCTAAAGTCAAAATGACCATGAAAACTAAGCGTCTTTTATCATTTCACAATATTGAGGCAGCCACAAGAGCACAACTAAAGACATTCATGAAAGGACTTCCAGAACTGCTTTATACATGTGTTCAATGCAGTGGGGTTGTATTTTGAGAGTGATCAATGACAGTGTATATTTTGCTTGCTATAAGAAGTTTTTCTAAAACTTTACTGTATTTTTCTGCCACATTTCCTATATTTTCAGTGATCTGCAGATGTATATTTCAATAATAACGTTTTACCCTTACTTTTCTTTCGTGCTGGGGATCAAACTCGGGACTTTGCACTTGTGAGGCAGGTGGAAGCACCACTGAACTAAATCCCCAGACCCTACCCTTACTTTTAAAGAACACATGTATCCTTTTAAATAGGAAATAGTTACTCTTATGTATGCTAGGTATAATTTTTAAAACTGTAGAAAGATCTCAGAAGGATTTAAGAAAAAGATGCAAAATAAAAGATATTTAAACTGGAAAGAATCTATCCTTACTAGTTGTTTTCTTTTAACAGGTCTTCCATCACTTTGATTTTTCTAGTCAAGAGTCTGTGCCAAAAAGGAGAAAGTTCAGTGAACCAAAAGAACATATATAAAAATTACTTTTCCTTCTGTACATTTGAAAAGGTCTTCTCATTATTTAAAGTAAAAGATGCTTTATTATTATTTTAAGATGTGTCCTTCCCCACCTCTGAAAATGTATATGCAGTTTTAAGCAGTTCATACACTTAAATGAAGTTTTTGGTTATTATTACTTTTTTTTTTATTTTTTTGGTACTGGGGATTGAACTCAGGTCCTTGTGCTTGCAAGGCAGATCACCGAACCACTGAGCTAAATCTCCAGCTCAATTTTTGGCTCTTATATTGTGGTCCTTGATTTTACCTGAGGTAAGTCCAAGAGAAATTTGGAGCAAACCCAAATATAGTAATTGATGCTGTTCATTGTCTACTCTATATAGATCTGTCTTCCATTTTAATGGACACTTTCTTTAAATCTGTATAAACTGAAGGCCCTATACTGCAAACCACTTTTTGAAATAATGTTTATTTTGGTATTAAAATTTTGTAGGATTCATTTTTCCTGTTGTTAAATTTGTACCATATAACTAGCTGTTTTGTCATTGTGTTGTTATTAAGACACTTCTTCAATATATGTTTATATTGAATTAGCATGTATAATGTGTGATTTAAAAAGTGCTACTCAGCTTTTGAAAACTTTTACTACAGGACAATAAGATGACTGATTTTTTTTTAAAGACAATAAAATGTTCAGTTTCAAGGTTTTTTCGTGGCTTCTAATTTTTATTTAATTAGCAGAGGTATCTAGGTATTGATTTTGTTTTTGGTACTGAGGATCTAATTCGGGCCCTTGAGTTTACGAGGCAGGCACTGAAACCACTGAGCTAAATCCCTGGCCCTAAATTTTTTTTTTTTTTTTTTTTTAATTCAGGGTCTTGCTATATAGTTCAGGCTGACCTTGAACTCACTATGGAACCTAAGCTGGCCTCAAACCCATGGCAATCCTCCTGCCTCAGTGTCCCGAGTGCTGGGATTACAGGCATGCACTGCCACAACCATTTTGGTATTGATTTTGCCCTGCTGTCTGAGAAGCTGAGGCCTGAGGATCTCAAGTTCAAGCCCAGCCTGGGCAACTTAGTGACACCCTGTCTTACATATTTTAAAACCATAATATAAAAGGAGAATGGCAAGTTGGGGATGTAGCTCAGTGCAAAGGTGTGAATTCAATCCTCAATCTAAAAAAAAAAACCTGAGCACTTTGTTGTGGGAGTGTGAAAGACAGCATTTTAAATGAAACCTAGGTCCTAAGGCATTTCAGCCTTGCTATTTCCTTTTTCCGTTGCTTTAGAAAAGAAAAAGCTTAAAACTCCTTCTGTTTGCCTCTAGTAGTTTCAGCAGCCATATTCCATGCACTTGTCAGTTACGAGCACTACCTAGGGAATTTTTACCATATGGTAAAAAATGTACCTATTCTGTTTAATGTAAATTAAATAAACATCCACAAATAGGCTCAGATCAGGTTTTTCTATAACAGTGAGATTATATTGGGTGTCAGAAACAGCCAATTTTAAAGTATTTATTAACTGCTTGGATCTTAGCACTTCTTACTGTGTTTCTCCAGTATGCGCTGCTACAGTAACACACCTGCTACTCTGAAATTGGTCAACAGAAACCTTTTGGATTGGCAGTTCCTGTTAGCTCACTGGACACTGTGATTGGCCGATTTAATGGGGCTGGAGGGCACAGCCCACTTTTCCTCTTCCACCATACTTCTCTCATTGGATTGATCAGCTGTCAGGTTGAACCTAAACCTGCCCCTTTCTGGAAATGTTTGTCTGGATCGCAACACAATAGCCAGGGAGATCCTCCCCTTGTAAGCTCCAATTGGCTGAACTCAATTTTAGTGGTTTCTGATTGGTCTTATGAAGAAACACCAAGGTAGGTTGCCTAGTGATCCTAAGGAAGCTGATGTGTTATTCCCTCTTGCAATCTAAGGATCAGGAAGTTTGTGCTGTTCGTGGCTGAGAAGTTTTTCACCTAGTAGGACAGGGGTGGGGTGGAGGGAACAGGTGTCCTCCTAAAATAGAGCGCGAGCTGCAGCCTGCCTCCAGCCGTAACCCAGGAGTAATCTCAGGTAAGGAACAGAAAAATTAGATTTTCTAACAAAACTATTTTTTAATAGAGAAAGGGCGGGTTTTATTTACTAATGCTTGGCCATTTGTTTTATCAGGTAAGAATTTTAACTGGCATCTAACCAGAGGAAGTTAATTCCTGAAAGAAAATTCCTCTTTATTTTTTCCCCTTAAGGGTTTAAAGTTTCTTGGATTAGGTTAGGAAATAATCCCAATTCAATGCCTGAAGACATTTATTTTGTAGTTCTGTTTGTCTTTCATCTTTCTTGCCTCCCACCAAAAATTATACTGTATTTGAAATATACCCTTATACAAAGAACCTTTTATAAGTCACTTCATTTGTATTTGTGTTAAATATGCATATATATTTGTGAGCATTCTTTTTTTTGAGACAGGGTCTCACTATGTAGTTGAGACTGACCTGGAGTCTGAGACTGACTCCCGAGTGCTTGAATTACAGGCGTGCGCCACCACGCCTGGCTTCTGAATATTCATTTTAATCGGTATATTTATTGAACACTGAACAGCGTTAAAAGATACTGTGCTAGTTGCTATGGAGAATATAAATCTCAAGAAAATATCCTTTCCTTTGCCCTCAAGAAGTTTACAGTTAAGAGATAACCATACCAAAAGAGAGACTATAATAAATACTTTAAAGGAATTAAGTTTAAAGTTTTTAGTTAGAGTATAGCTGAGGGAGAAACCAATTCTGGCCATAGGGGATATGGGTGTTGGATAGAGAGATTCATTTAAGTCTTCCCAGTAGGTCTTTTATAGGTGATATGCCTTTGAAGAAAGTTGAAATTTAGCCGGGCATGGTGGCTCACGCCTGTAATCCCAGCACTCGGGAGGCTGAGGCAGGAGGATCGCTATGAGTTCGAGACCAGCCTGGACTACATAGTGAGACCCTGTCAAAGAAAGTTGAAATTTAAAGAGGAAGGGAAAGGGGAGATAAACTTATCAATTGCAAAGAAGTAGTGGCCAAAAGAACGATGTGTTTTTAAAATGTTACATAACAGTGTATATTGGGAGTAATGGGAAATATTGTTAGAAGGTAGAGCCAAGTTCAGTCAGAGCCACACTGAAGGTACTGTTCTTTTGATATCAAAGATAGTCTTTTAGGGCCAGGGATTTGGCTCAGTGGTTCCACTGCCTGCCTCACAAGTGCAAGTACCTAAATTTGATCCCCGGAACAAAAAAAAAAAAGTTACTGGGTAGATTATTTTAAATAACTAGTCCATGATGTAAAAAGACATGTGTTTTGATTTTTTTAAATTTTTCTTTCAATGTTAGGATGGGTTCAGCGCCTTTCACATGCCAAGTACATACTCTATTACTGAGCTATACTTCTGCCTTTTTTTTTTTTAATTGACAAAGAATTTGCTAATCTTTGCTAGTTTTTCTTGTTGGCAGCTATTTGTATAATCACAAAATGACTAGCTAGGGCTAGAGATGCTAAGTCTCCTATGTGGAACTACTACACGATCTTCCTCTTCTGATCTTCCAAGTATTATTAACTAGTTTAGTGATCTTCAAAGTGAATGGATGAGGGGGCGTGGTGGTGCACACCTGTAATCCCAGAACTCAGAGGCTGAAGCAGGAGGATCGCTGTGAGTTGAGACCAGCCTGGGCTACATAGTTCCAGGTCATTCTCAACTACAGAGTGAGACCCTGTCTCAAAAAACCAAAAAAAATATGTCAAAGTGAATGGATGAAAGGAGACCCTAAGTATAGGAAGAAAATATTAAAACATAAATTTCTGTTCAGGTTCTTTTGTTCTTTTTCACTTTGTATATTTTGTGTATTTTTAAAATTTATTTTTTGTGGTGCTGGGTATTGAACCCAAGGCTTTGTGCTTACTGGCAAACACTACCCCAGATCTTTGTGTATGTCTCGTAATGTAGTACCATTGAATATTACAGAAGTTAGATATAAATTGTGTGCATGATGTCCCCATAATTTTTTCCTGTTCCATCTTGGGGAATCCATTTTTTTTTTTTTTTTTTTTTCCCAGTACCAAGGATCAAATTCATCTGGGGATCCATTTTGTAAAAGAGAAAACAATGGAGGACATTTATTTCTGCCTTATAAGTTATATGCAAGAAATCACCATACTTAAAAGATGATCATTTCTACTGGATGTTAGAATTCCTGATTTGGTCTCATCATTACCATTTGTGGAGTCTAAGCTGTTGTACTTTGAGAATGATACCATGTTGGACACTTAATTTTTCTAGTCATTAATTTTTTATTGTGGTATTGGATACTGAACCTAGAAGTTCGTGTATGCTAGGCAAGTACTCTACCACTGAGCTATGTCCCCAGCCCCTGATTACTACTTCTTCCTTAATATATTTAAGTTTGTAAATACTATTCGTAAATACTAGTATGTATATATGAATATCTATAAATGTTTATAGAAATACATATGAGTATTTTTTTTTCACCACTCCATTCAGAAACAGGTGAGAATGACCACATTAACTCACCGGACCCGTCGCACTGAAGTAAGCAAGAATTCTGAAAAGAAGATAGAAAGTGAGGAAGACACTAATCAAGAGAAGAGTCTAGAGAATGAGGATTCTGGAGACTCTAAGGACATCCGCCTCACTCTTATGGAGGAAGTATTGCTCCTGGGACTAAAAGATAAAGAGGTAATGAAGTTAGGTTTGCTACACTCTCTCAAAAACCCAAATGTTGCTGGGTGTGGTGGCGCACGCCTGTAATCCCAGCACTTGGGAGGCTGAGGCAGAAGGATTGCTGTGAGTTCGAGACCAGCCTGGGCTACATAGTGAGTTCCAGTCAGTCTCAAGTACATAGTGAGACCCTGTCTCAAAAAACAAACAAACAAACAAACAAAAAAAAAAACAAAAAACAAAAAAAATCCAAATGTTGGAATGTTTTGAGACGTAAACTGATAGAATGTTTTTGTTAACGATAAAAATGACTTTGAAATTGAATTACAGGGCCGAGGATTTAGCTAAGTGGTTCCGCTGCCTGCCTGGCAAGTGCAAGGTCCTGAGTTCGATCCCCAGTATTTAAAAAAAACAAAAAAAAAAACAAATTGAACTACAGCCATCTTGGAGATGAAACAATCTGGGAGTGTGACTGATACTTGAAGAGTAAAATCCAGAAGTATAATTACTTGAAGTATAATGTAATTGCAAAATTATAGAGGACACAGGAAAGGATAATGCAGTGCAAAGTTTTGTGTTTGTAGTTTCCCAAGCTAGTTTGATCATGAAATAATAACCTCTTATTAAAGTAAGAAAGAAGGCCCACACACTGAAGTCTTGAGCTTTCAGAAGAAAGTCTTAAGGAAAAGACAAGGAATATGTATGATTAGCTGTCATCCATAAATAAATGATGTGTAGATTTTGTATAACAGAAGTAATTTTTTCATTTGCTTATGTGGATCTTTAGAAGCTAAATATTAATACTTTATAAGGATTATTTCAATTTTAGAAAATCTTAAATAATTCCAGCTATTTTTCTTTCTAAATTTCTCCTTTAGAACATATATTTTGTAGTTGGTCTTGAAATAGTAAGTCTTGTGATATAACCAGATATTTTCTTGGTTTGTTTTTGTTTGTTTCAGTTTTTTGGGATAGGGTCTCACTATGTTCTTCAGGCTGCCCTTGAATTCAATATGTAGCCCAGGAGGGCCAGGGATTTAGCTTAGTGTTTCCAGCACCTGCCTCACAAGCGCAGGGACCCGAGTTCAAACCCCAGTACCAAAAAACGAACAAACAAACAGGCTTGCAGCGATCCTCCTGTCTCAGCCTCCCGATTCCTAGGATTGCAGACATGAGCCGCCATACAGCTCTTTTCCTGGTTTTTCTAGTAGTCATGTAGATTATCCTTCATTTGTAATTTAACTTTTTACTGTTTTCTCATCACCCTCTCCCCTCATGAAAAAGTCATAAAAATTATATATTTTATTTTACTTTTTTGGTATCAGGGATCAAACTTAGGACCTTTTGCTTGCAAGCAGGCATGAGACCACTGAGCTGAATTCCTGGCCCAAAACATATATATTTTAAATAATCTGTTTTCTGCCAGGTGTGGTGGTGTACACCTAGAAGAGTTTGAGGTCAGCCTGGGCTACATAGTTCAAAAACAGCCTGAACTACATAGGGAGACCCTGTCTCAAAAAACAAAACAGTCTGCCGAGCTAGATATGGTGGCACACACCTGTAATTTCAGCACTTGGGAGGCTGAGGCAGGAAGATTGCCTGAGTTTGAGGCATGCCTGAACTATATAACGAGACCTTGTCTCAGAAAACTGAAAAATCTAATCTAGGTCAGTACGTGGTTTTTTCCTTTTAGTTTCCTGATTGTACAAAGTGAACAATAAATCTTGTTAGTAGTTACTGCTATTGTTGCATTGGGTAAGAGTACCAGGACTTGTCAGGATTTTGGTTTTTGTTAAGAAAACAAAAACGCTGTTTGTTTTATTCTTTATTACATCCAGCCATTTAACTCAAAGAATTACTTACTGTTATATAAAAGGAAATAACCTGGGAGAACAAGCCCTCTTTTAACAGTAGGAAAATACAGTTAAGATATTTGAGGTCATCCTCTGTTTCCCCAACTTCATAATGCACCCTGTTCTCTTCTAAAATTTGGGCTTCCTCTCACTTAAATTTGGGTTTTGTTTGTAACCATTGACCTTCTAAATTTACTATGAGCCTTTTTATCTCTTTTGTCTCCTTTATATTTTATATTTGTATAACTTAGCATTTTCAAAGCATTTTGCATTTTTTTATTGCTTGATCCTGCAAGGCAAGTATTATCTCTCTTTATGGGAATCAAAATTAAATGGATATTTTGGCAATAATTTGTGTAATTTACATTAAACTGACTTAATAAAGAACATGCTTACAAAACAAGTACCATATTTTTCTGTACTCCTTGCTGAGGTAAAGATTTTTCAGGAATATTAACTTTAATATGACCACAAGAATTTCATTCTCCTGGATAGCTTCATATGGATTTTAATTTATGCCTCCTATAAAGATAAAAGATTATTTTATTCCTTAGTAATGTTTGTCACATGCATTTTCTCAGTTTGGGCTTTTCTTTTTTCTATTCTGGTGTGTGGACCAAAGGTTTATTATGCTTAAGATACTGATCTTATGTGACAAAAGGCATAATCCTGGGAGGACATTAGCCATACCAGCAAGATACACTTTTTGGTATGATGAGTGAAGAAAATTACAAGTTATAAGAATACAAGCAAGAAAAGTAAAATTTTCATGGGGAAATAAACATTTATAGTTATAGGCAAGTAATAATTATTCTCAGCAGCAATGGAAATACGGTTAAAATTATAAACTTGATCTAATGTAATTTTACAGTGTGATATTTACTGATAGCTTCTCGGTAAATGAATATGATAACATTTGTTAAAGAGGTTTGAGACACAAGAAATTTTCTAGCCGGGCATAGTGGCACACACCTGTAATCCCAGCACTGGAGAGACAGGAGGAGTGCGTGAAATTCAAAGTCAGCGTGGGGTACATAATGAGTTCAAGGCCAGCCTGAACTGTATGTCGAGACCCCATAAAAAAACTATGTGTCGAGACCCTACAAAAAAAGGAAATATGAAAGTTCTACACATTGTTTTCTCTCTCTTCAAACAAGATACTCTGGTCATAAAGGACAGAGTGGGAGGTGTAACTCAGTAGTAGAGTGATTGTCTAGTATGCACAAGACCCTGAGTTTGGTGTCCAGTGCCACAAGAAGGAAAAAACTACTGCATGAGGCTTCAAAATGCTTGCAACCACAAAATACTCTGGTCATAAAGGGCAGCAGATCCAAGTAAGAAGTTTGATAACCCAGTTTGCAAAAAGAAAGATATTTAGAGGCAGTAAATAATACTTACTAATGGGTCTTACATTAAAGTCTAATGTGTATAGTTTTGCTTCTCAGTTCACTTTTCCAGCCTTAGATTAGAACTCATATCACATATCCCCTTATGAAAGAGAAGGAAACTGTTCTACTTAAGAAGAGATAAACTGGGCATGGTGGTACATGCCTATAATCCCAGCACTCACAAGGCTGAGGCAGGAGGATTGGTAGTGAGTTTGATGCCAGCCTAAAATATGTAGCAAGGCCCTGACTCAGAAGCAAAAAAAAAAAAGAGAGATAAATTGGGTAAGATAATGTTCTTTTTCTCTTGCATCTTAAACCTTAAGAACAAACGAATAGATAGGCCTCATAGATTTTTCTTTTTTGTGGGAATATGATTATATTAGTTTACTGTGGCTGAATACTATAGGCTCGGTGGCTTCAAAAGCAGAAATTAATTTTCTTGCATTTCTGGAGGCTACATCAAGGCTGAACAGTTTGATATCCTCTGCAGCCCTTCTTGCCTTGCAGACTTTTTGTCTAATGTCCCTGCCTCCTTGGAGTTTCTGTGTGTCCAGACTTCCACTTTACTTACTTACTTACTTATTTATTGGTACTGAAGATCAAACTCGGCGGAACCACTGAGCTAAATTCCCGGCCCCAAACTTCCACTTTATAAGGACACCAGTCAAGTTAGGTTAGGGCCCGCTTTAACATTCACCTCATTTCACCTTACCTTTTTAGCAGCTCTTTCTCCAAATACAGTTACATTCTGAGGATACTCACTATTACAGCTTCAAATAATGAAATTTGAAGAAATATAATTCATCCCATAACAATGACTTAGAAAGTTTTGGAGATAATTGCATTTTAATTTACTCACAGTTTACCTCAGAAAGCCTCATTACAGTTATATAATGGAGAGCTGGATACAGTGGCAGGCATCTATAGTGCCAGCCATTCAGGAGGCTGAAACAGCAGGAGCCTGGGAGTCCAGAGTTTGAGGCTAGCCTGGACGACATAGTGAGACCCTGTCTCAAAAACAAACATTTGTATAAAGATGTGATTTCTCTCTAAAGTGCATTAAAAAAATAAATAATAGGAATAAGTAATCGCTTCTCGGCCTTTTGGCTAAGATCAAGTGTAGGAATAAGTAAGATGTGGTTATCATCCCTCAAGGAATGTAAGATCTTATAGGGGAGAAAAAGTATATATATAATAACCATACTATACATTAAGCATATAGTATAAGCACTGTGAGAAAGGTTTTTTGTTTTTTGTTTTGTTTTGTTTTGTTGAGACAGGGTTAATTGAGACTGAGCTGAACTCATTATATAACCCAGGCTGGTCTTGAACTCACAGTGATCCTCCTGCCTCAGCCTCAGTCTCAGGCTGGGATTATAGGCGTGCACCACCATACCTGGTGAGAAAGGTTTTTTAAAAATGCCATTGAAAAGGAAGAAATTCCTTGATGTCTGTTCTTTGTTTTCTCTCTTTGCCCTCACCTGTATTCACAGTTGTCCAAAAGATTTAATGTGAGAATGGCAAATAGAAAAAAAAAAAAAAGTAACTGAATCAAAGGGTTAGAAGTTACAGAGATTTTAATTGGTGGGCAATATTTCTTGTTTAGTAGCCTTGAAAATAATCACTTGAATTAGCTCTTACAAATTGAACAACCATGGCCTGACCTTAATATCAGACAGGAACACCGGAAAATTTGTTTGCTGGAAAAGAGCCTCACCTAGTATTCTTAGTAGTGTTTGGCTTCTGTGTTTCAATGGCTGCCCACATAAATTTTTAA